CTCAGTCTGCCAGGCGGGTGCCCCGGCCCCAGTCTTGCTGAGGGTACAGGTCTCGAGGATTTGCTGGAGCAGCACTCAGAGGTTCCTGGCCCTGTCTGGAGGCGCTTGTGTTTCAGCAGGGAGCGGCCCCAGAGGTTTGCGTACGTGCCGCAGACAACACAGCTGGCGAGATGGAAGCCGTTTATTACCCTCCGAAGAAGAAAAGGAAGCAGGACGCAGCCCTGTGGCAGGCGGAGCGTGCACACCCTGCAGATGCAGACTGTGAGCAGGTAGCTGCACACACAGCGGCGCCAGTGCCTCTCGGCCATCGCGCACGCCAACAGGAGGCCCCACACCTCAGGCCTCACCCCTGAGGGGCAGGGAAGGCTGGGGCACACCCAGGCTGGCCTGCGAAGTGACTCAGGTTTTGGCTCTTGTGGTGGAGGACATTTCGCGACTCTCTATCCTCCCATCCCGTCACCAGCTTTTATTTCTTGTTTAACTCTCCTCTTTGACATCTGGAGAAATGTCCCCTGGAGGAAGCTCCACGGCCACCCGGGACCCTTCGCACGGAGCGGAGACGAGCTCATGGAGCTGCAGGGACCCAGGACCTCAGGGAGCGTGGCAGCAGCACCGGCACCCATCAGCAGGTCACAGCCGTGCCCGCACCGGCGTGGACGCCTGGCTGAACTTAGTCTGTTGCTGGAGGCTCAGTCCTGGCCTCGGTCGATTTCTGCAGCATTCGGTGCATTACAGGGTTCCTTGACAATGCAAGAAATGAAACTTGCAGAGTGTGGTGGTCCACGCCTGTGATCCTATCACTGAGGCAGGAGGATTGCAAGTTCTAGGGCAGCACATAGCAAAACTTTGTCTCAAAAACACCAAATGGGGTGCGGTGAAAGTGCTTTTGCTGGTGAAGAAAACAGGGTAGCCTCCAGCACCAGAGCAATGCTGGGAGGTTGGACTCTGGCCTTCCTGCAGAGGGCACTGCTATTCTCTGTGGAAGACAGATGCAAGTTCAGCGCCAGTCGAGGCGGAAGGCTGGGAGCCAGGTGTGTCCTTCCTCTGTGGCTCCCACTTGGCAGTGAGCTCCCTGCTGTGGCCCTTGCTGACTGTGGCACACAGGGCTGAGTGGCAACCCCTTCGCACAGCACAGAGCCCTCGTAGCTGTGAGGTTCTGGGTGCAAAACAGACAGTACAACAGAGACTGCTGATATGTGAGGAGGCAGGGCCTGAGCCCGAGGAGGAGCTGTGTGTCCTTGTACCACAGTTGTACATTAAATGAAATGATTAATCATAGAGGAAAATAATACAGCACGGAGAAGGATTTGCTCTCTTTGGAAGTTGATAAAAATATTCTAAAACCCTCCTGAACCGTCAGTTGGTGAGAATACCCTGTAAAGGACAAGAAAACGAAGGCAAAGGAATGGAGACTGATCGCAAAGCTATCAACCCCTCTATGGCAGTGTCCCTGCGGGAGCAGACACAGGTGACAGGGGTCCCCGGAATGCAGTGAGAGCTAGCATCTTAGGCAGGTGCAGCGGAACCCTGGGCTCCCCATTGGGAAAGAGCCAGGTTCCCTGCTCCTACTAACATGAAAATATGTCCCAGGCTGTCCACGTATTTTTGTGCAAGTCAGCTTCTTTAGCATTCTAGAAAATACAGGTGAACGCTGTGTGTGTCAAATTAAGCACATGTTCCCATCGTCGTATAAAACCTGTAAACGCTGTTGTGGCTGTGTAAATGGCAAAGGTTCCGGGTCCGAGAAGATGACACTATTACCTGGGGAGGCCGTGCATGGAGGTGTTCTCAGAGGGTTCACAGTGATGCCTTGGGAAGTCTCGAAGGACCGGGTCATGGCGCAGATCTCCAGAGTGGGGGGTCAGGTGTGGAAGGCAGGGGCAGGGGAAGAGACAGAGGGGCTGAAAACGTCATCAGGAGGTGAGCACGTGGCTGCCCTAACTGGTGCTGCTTTGCCTCTCAGGTGGAGTTTAGTTTTATTAAAAACGCACTAGGTGTGGAGGTAGGTGGCAGCGTGCTTGCCTCGCACGCACTGTGTCCTGGCTTCTGTCCCCAGCACTGGGGAGCAATAGCGATGTGTGGGCGGCAGCTGCTGGCCCGGTGTGGCGAGTGTGGCGAGCATGGCTGGAGAACAGGGGCTGGGCCATTGTCTGGCCGCTGTCCTTGCTCATCCCTCAGACGGTCTCCCCGGGCCACCCCTGCAGCCCCATGGGTGGGGAGGGACAGTCAGTCCCTGCTCTGGACCCCTATGTCCCTACCCCCAGGGGCCCTCCAAGCGCCATGGGCTTCTTGTCCTTCCTGGCTGACTGCTCCCCTCCTTCTGAGCCGCCTTCCATGGGGAGGGCAGCTGGAGCTGTCCCTAAGTTGTGCCGCCTGATGGACAGATGGCAGGGACTGTGCTCCTAACATGTCTGTAGGGCCAGGGCCTGGTGAGGGGGAGTCTGCCTGTACCGTGCCTCAGTCTGTGCTCCCCGGAGCCTGAGTGCATCCCCAGGAGCTGATACCTGTCATCAAGCAGGAGAACATCGATCCCCTGGACTTATTTTCTACTCGTGTAAGAAGGAGTTAAACCTGATTTGTCATCAGGAATCTTTGGTCAGCTGGGTGTGGTGGTGCAGGGCTGTAATCCCAGCACTCCGGGAGGTCGAGGCAGGAGGATTGTGAGTTCAAGCCTAGCCTGGGCAATTTAGTGAGACCCCATCACAAAATACAGAATTGAAAAAGGCTGGGATGCATCTCAGAGTATACAGCCCTGCTTACCGTCCCGCTGTGGGGATGAACCAGCTGGTCCCTGGCGGCAGGAGGTTAGGAGCACCCAGCACCCACTTGTCAGCAGGGTTAGTGACCTTCCTGTTGCTGAGACGGAGTACCTGCTACCCAGCTTCAGGGAAGGTAGTGAGTTCAGTCCGTGGTCAGCTGGCTCCAAGGCAAAAAAGGCTTGGCGGAAGGGCTGTGGGGAGGAAAGCTGATCCCTGCAGGATGACCAGGAAGCAGAGAGAGAGAGAGAGAGAGAGAGAGGGAGGGCGGGAGGGTGGAGCCTGGGACGAGAACACACCCTTCCTAGTCATCCTACAGTGGCCAGCTCCAAACACAAGTCAGCTCTGAACTCGCCAATGGACAGATCCACGGATGAGTGTAGCACCCGTGATCCCGTCACCTTCCGAACACGTAATACTTGGAGGACATTAGCGGTCCCAACTGTGACATCAGCCTCCCCACGTGGGACTCTGCTGCTTCACAGTCCGCCTCTCTGTGACGGCCAGCATCTACCCCGTCCACTTGTGTGAGGGTTTGGCCAGCACGTGGTCCCCTTCCAAACCCATCCTTCCTGCCTCAGCCTCCCACAGGCGTGCACAGGATTGCAGGTGTGCACCTCTGCGCCCGGCTGGACCTCGGTTTTGATTCTGGGTGAACAGGAAGTCATGGGAGACGAGGCTCGTCTTCAGCCACAGGAACCCAAGAGTCTTTGTGAAAGAGATGAAGCCTCAGATTTGGGCTTCAGCGTCTTTTAGACTCAACCCCCACGCTACGTCCCCCGGGAGCTTTCTGGGTCGGGAGCTCTCCGGCCTCCTCGGTGCCTCCCGTGCAGTCTTGTCCCTGGCACTTCCCACGTGAATGGGTGGCACAGCTGCCCCACTGTGCTGTCAGCCCCATGGGCCGGGGGCCCCATCGAGCCCCGGTGCCCTTGCGCCTGCAGAAGCCCATGTTGCTTTAAGCACCAGCATACAGAGCAGGAGGCGGCAGGTGAGGCTCATCTGACTCAGTGGTCTTGGCAGCATCAGGAGGCTGATGGATCCGGGACCCATAGATGCATAAGAGTCACAGGACATGGGGTGCAGAGGGCGAGGGTGGGGTTGACAGGTGGCCTTAAGGCGCTGTGGGGCTGACCCCCCACTGCTGCCTGGCCTCCCACACACAGTGTGGCCCCGGGAGCCTGTGGCAGATACCGCCCTGTGGCCACCACCCTGGTGCACTGCTCCCCATGGAGCTGGGGCCTGCCTCGTGACTTGCTGCCCTCAAAAGCTGGAGAAGGTTCCGTGTTAAAGTCCACGTCCTTAAACGCTTAACCACCTGTTCAAGGGCCGAGGATGCCCCGTGGTGTGCAGGCCATCAAGGCACGGCTGTTGGGGGTTACTTAGGGTTCTCGGGGAGCCGCAGACTGACCTGGAAAGTGGCTGTCCGCTTTATATGCAGATGAACCCCGGGTTGCGTCCCTTTCCCTGATGACTTAACCCCAAGAGTGGGGGCATGGGGTGGCACAGGTGTGCCCACCAGCTGCCTATCTGTGTGGCAGGCCTCAGGGGGCATTTCCTCTAGAGGGCCGCCCCGTGGGGCCCAGGGGTCCCCACACCTGCTTCTCAGGCTCCATTCCTGGCTCCTGAGGTGGGAAGGATGCTTGTGCTGGCTCCAGAAGTGCCTCTTAGGTGCAGCAAGGAACCTGGACACCTGCACATTCCTGTACCCTTCTCTTTATTCTGTTTTGTGTTCATAACGTGCAGGGTGCGGGGCGGGCGGTGGTAGAAGACAGGTTGTGGCCCATGGTGCATGTTCTTCAGCTCTGCCATCCCTGTCTTTGTTTCTTTGTTCCCTTCTGTCCAAGATAAAGAAATTACCTGGGGATTTTGCTGAGCCACCAGTATTGCTGGGAGGCTGAGGCAAGAGGATTGCAAGCTCAAGCCCTACCTGGGCAATTTAACTGCTAAGCAAGACCTTGTCTTAAAGTAAAAAATAAACAAGAGGGCTGGGGACTTAGCTCAGTGGTTCCGCCTCCTGCCTCACAAGCGCAAGGACCCAAGTTTAATCCCTGGTACCCCCCACTCCAAAATAATAATAATAATAAATGAATAAATAAAAAAGGCTGGAGATCTAGCTCCGTGCAAAGGCCCTGGGTTAGACCCCCAGTATCATAGAGAAATTGCTGATATAATAGATTTTATAAGCGAGAGTGCGGCCAAGCTAGGCTTAAGGCACTTGAGAAATTGGAGGGAAACGTTGGGTACGGTATGATAAATCGAAGAAGTAAAGTCAGTGTCTTTTTTTTTTTTTATGTTTAGAGTAAAAGGAAGAGAAAGAAGAAAAAGCATCAGAACATGACTGATTCCTCAGAGCTGAGTTCTTGGTCCTCATCTCTCTCTGGCCCTGCCACTCCAAGCTTGCTTTCAAGCCCTGGCTCCCTGGATGCAGCCACACCCCACGGCCAAGCCCAGCAGGGTGACCCGGCCGGCGGGCCCCCCCAGACCCTGGACTGGGGGGCGCTGCCACTGGAGGAGGGCAGCCCTCTTGATCCCCTTGTGCACGCTGAGGGTAGCAGCAGCCCCGTGCAACATCAGACTGCTGTGCCCTCCCGAGACCGAGGCCCCTCTGCCTGTGAAGACCACCCTGTGGCTGCAGATATCACTCAGCAGCCTGGGTCCAGAGGGGACAGTTGTGAGCCCAAGGACGGACAGCAGGCGGAGTTGCCAGCGTCCAGGGTGAGTGTTGGGTTAGTGGGCCACCTGGGGACCTGCCTGACAGAAGAAATGGGGTGTGCCGAGGCCCCCGGGTGGGGTGTGGGCCTGTCCTCAGCGCAGAAGGCGCTGATGCCCCGAGTGCAGGGGGGTGGAGGCCGGGGGAGTGGGCCAGACCAGAGGCCCTGGGAGGTTCAGAGCAGGGAAGCACAGGGCCACCCCAGGAGCTGTGCAATCATGGATGGCGGGGGAGAGCACAAGGCCTGGCCTTCACAGTCGGCTTGGCTTGGCTTGGGTTCCAGATAACGGAAGCCAAGGACAAGTCGGCTGTTGCTGGGGGTAGAGGCAGTGAAAATGGGGATGGGAAGCTAGAAGACTTGAAGGAGGCGGAGGAGAGTAACAGCACTCAACCAGTGGCTGTGAAAAACAAGAAGGAGAGGAGTCAGAGCAGCGCTGCGCAGGTCACAGCGAGGTAGGGCTGGGAGGCCTGAGCGAGGGGGCCCCGAGCGACGCCCCCACCTCTGTCGAGCTCGTCTTTGAGGGAACCGCTTACAAGTGGGCTGGACGGGGCACCTGCTCCAGATTCCCCGCCCCGATGGTCCCGTGGTCCCAGAGCCCACGTGGCCTTTGAGCGTGCAGGAGAGTCCCAGAGTCCTTCCTGGGCTGCCTGGGGACGGGGCAGGGCGGGCCTCCCCTGGTGTATCGGGCCGCGGATGTCGTGCCCTCCCTGGTGTGTCTGTGCACAGTGGAGAAGTAAGCGTGGTGCCCCTGTGTGCGCTTGTGTGTGTGTGTGCGTGCACACGCGTGGCTTCCTGTGATCCGGCACACATGGAGGCACGGGCGAGTGAGCTGCGCCCCTCCCTGTCTGCTCTCCCCAGCACGCTGGGCCCCGGGGAAGGGATCACCGTGTACTTCCACGCCATCATCGCCAAGCAGTTCGCATTTGACCCCAGCTGCCACCAAGTGTTTGTGCGCGGGGGTGATGGACTTGGGAAGCCAAAGTGGAAAAACGCGTGCGAGATGCTGTGCACCACGTGAGTACACCACGGGCTGGCTCGGGCGGGTGTGTGTGAGCGCCGTCACCCAGGGCAGACGACGAGTGTTTCAAACACAACCACCCTGTGGCGCCTGCCGTTATCACAGGGCTCTTCCTCCAGGCCTGGCTGGTCACTGCTTGGTTCCAGACGTGTGCTGTGGGTTAGCACCTACTGGAGAAGAGCTGGCGTCCCGGACGGGGGCTTCATTTTGCTGTTCTTGTTTTGTATTGTTGGTTTTTTGAGATAGGGTCTCATTATGTAGCTCAGGCTGGCCTTGAACTCGTGGCCATCCTCCGGCCTCAGCCTCCCAAGTGCTGGGATGACAGGTGTTCCTGACGTGGCTTTTGGATAACCACCGAGTGTCCCGTTGACTCACAGGGTCTTACAGGAGAATGCCTGTCTCGTCGAGGGCAGCATGGTCATTCCCAAGCAGAGTGTGAACTGTGCCATCCCGTATAAGTACGTCATTGTCCAAGGCCAAGACTCCGAGGAGTATGAATTCATCTACAAGAAGCAGAAGAAAGGCGAGCCCGTCAACCGCTGCCTGTACATGCCATCCCACCTGGTGGCCAAAGGAGGTGAGCCTGCAGTGTCCTGACTCCACTCCTGGGCCACTTGGCTCTGCCTTGGCCGCATCGCCCCCTGCCTTGGTGCTTCATAAAGCAGTCTTTGGAAGCCTGCCTTTGGCGGTGTAGAGGCATTTGGGCCCCTCTCTCGGCTCAGTTTGACTCTTCGCAGGGCCTTTGTGCCGAACTACATTTCCATCCCTTCTTTACAAATTTTTACTTTTGAGACAGAGTCTCGCTAAGCTACCTGGGCTGGACTGCAATTTGCAATCCATCCGATCCTAAGAACAGCCATGAATGGAGCCTTACCCCACAGCAGGCACCTGCCCAGGGCTCCATGCTACAGGGACGCTGCAGCATTCTTCAGGGGGTGCCTCACTCTTCCCACCACACTCAGGAAATAGCGCTTGCACGGGGGCCGTGCCTGCAAAGTGTGTGACCCGCACACGGTCACGTTTTAAGGGGCACATGTACCAAGTGTGCGGAGAGCCGTGGCTTATCCTCACGGGCACTGTGGGACATCTCTCCACACGGGGGCTTGCCTGGGGTGGCTGATGGAGTGCATTCTGGTGCCTCAGTTTGTCAGTCTTCTGGTTTTCCTTCCTCTCTTCTCTCTTCTGGCCACTCCCCAGGGTCACTGCCACCCAGGCAGGGCCTGAGCTTGCGGGCTTTTATGATGTGAGTGTGACACTGTTCTTGCTGTTGTCCTAGAATGGCATCAGTACGATGACGTCTGCATGAAGCCCCCTGGGAGGTTTCAGAAAGCCAAGGACTGGTTCACTGATGGGACGAGGAAGGAGGTGGTGGCCGGGAAGCACATGGCGACCGTGGTCATGCTGGACCGCATCTTCAGCGTCCTGCAGACATGGAGCCTCATCAACCTGAAGACCTTCTTTGCCCAGTTCCTGCAGTTCTACTCTGTCGTCCGAGAGGCTGTGGTTCACCAAGAGAAGAAGGAGACGTGGAGCGATCTGCAGTACACAGAGAAGGAGGTACAGGCTGCCCTGTTGTCCGCAGCAGCCCCACTCTGGCGGTGTCCCCCACCTGCTAGAGCAGGCGACCCCTTGACGGTGGGGCCACGCACAGATGGGGGCAGGGAGACCTTCTGTCCCTTCTGTCCTTCCCTCACCTCATGGGGCCTCTCTCCCTCCTGCCTTTCCCCTTCCTGGTTCCTGCACACTTTGGTGCCCATTTCTCACCTGGTCTGGGCAGAGGAGAAACAAGGCCCAGGTGGCCTGGAGCCATTTGACAGTGGGTCCTCCTGAGCATCCGGGTCCCCGCGGCCCTCCCCGAGGGGCTCAGGCTGAGCCCCGGTGGGCCGGAAGCTAGGATGAGGGGAGGTGGAGTGGGCCGGGACTCCCCTAGCTCTCTGTGCTCACAGCACCTCGGTTCCCTACCCAGCCGTTGTCCGTCTCTGAGGCAGGCGCCGTGTGGCTCATGGTTGGTGTTTGTCTCCTGGCCTCAGGTGAAACAACTCCTGTGGGAGCATTTGAAGAAGCAGATGGCCCCGTTTGCGGAAGGCAAGAGTGGGGAAGCCCTGCCTAAAGACTTCCCAGTGAAAAGCAAACTACGGATGGGCCTGATTGTCCTTTACATAGTGGAAAAAATTCACATTTCCTTATCCAAATCTGACATCGCCCTGCTGAGCTCCCTCCTGGTCCCTACTGCCCATTCACCAGATACCCTGCACAGCGACCTAGACCACTTCCTCAGCACATCCGAGAGGTATTTCTGTCCGTTGGCGAGGGGTTTATAGCTGTTTTAGCGGTTGTCTGATTGCCAGGATGAACCCTTGTGGCCGAATGGCTGACAGCGCACACGGGAGAGAAGAGCTGCCTGTCGTTCCTCACTCACTGCTGTCGTTTCGGGATTTCTTGGCGTGTGCGTCATTTTTCACGCTGCTGTGTCCTGTGTTCTCTTTTCCCCTTTTTTCCCCTTTGGTGGTACTGGGGGTCAGAGCTGGGGCCCCAGGCATCTGTGCAAGTGCTCTGTCTAGAGACACAATCTGGCCTCTGTTTTATTGAATGTGCTGCTCCTTATACTGCTTCATGAAGCCGGGTACAGTGGGTGCAGCAGGGGGGTCATTTGGGCCCAGGAGTTTGAGTCCAGCCTGGGCAACGTATCAAGAGCCCTTCTCGCAAAACACATGAAAAACATAAAAATGACAACAAGTCCCTCCTGTTTCATGCACGGTGTCTGTGCATCTTGGTGTTGAGGCTCCCTGCAGGTGCTGTGCTGCCCAGCTCTGCCTGTGCTGTAGGGCTCAGGAAGCTCACGGTCACTGCTGGGCTGTGGAGGGCTTGGCGGTGACAAGGCGATGGCCTTTTGCACGGCTGGGGAAGCCAGGACCGGGGCTTTTCACAGTGTTGCCCGTGGCTGTGAAATTGCAAGCTCCACTGGGCAGCCCTCCCGTCTTCTGGGACACCTGGCTGCTGCCTCACATGTCCCCAACCCCAGGGAATTGCTCGCTGTACATTTTGTTTGTGTGTATGTTTTGTTCTGTTCCGTTTTGGGTACCAGGGATAGAACTCTGGTCCTTGCGTGTGCGAGGCAGGCACCGGAATCACTGAGCTAAATCCCTGGCCCAGCTCGCTGTACATTTTGCAAAAGAGCAGAAACAGCGGCGAGGAAACGTGGAACCAGTGCCGGAGTTTGAAAGGATTGGGATGCACTGGAACTCTGTCACCGTGGGACGTGGGCTGGATATTGTTTAGAGGGTCGGCTCCTGCATTTTTGAAGTTGGTTTTTTGTATTTAGATCCACTGTTGCCAGACAGCATGGGTTCCCACCCTAGCTGTGCTGATATCTGCCCTGAGGGCCCTGCGCAGATCCTTAGCCGGGACCCACACGCCGAGGTCCCTCTGCCATCCGGTGTGGTAGAAATGACCCCTGCTCTGGGGATTCGGCAAGCACACGGCACCAGGGGTTTTTTTGTTTGTTTGTTTTTGTTTTTGTTTTTTGGGGGGGTTTTTTGAGACAGGGTCTCACTATGTAGTTGAGACTGATCTGGAACTCACTATGTAGCTCAGGCTGGCCTCAAACTCACAATGATCCTCCCTGCCTCAGCCTCCTGAGTGCTGGGATTACAGGCTCCAGGGTGTGGCTCCCCCCACCCCGTGTCTCCTGGGCTGGTGATGCCATCCAGCCATGCAGGTGTTCTTGTGCCTATGCAGGTGATGGCCCCTCGCCTCCAGGACATCAGGCACAGACGGTCTGACACGTGGCATCTTGGATCCCTTCTAGGTGGCGAGAGTACCTGGTAAACCTGTGCCAGCAGTGCCTGGAGAAAGAGCTCCACCAGTGGCTGGGCACCCTGCCGGTCCTGCACTACTGCATGCAGCTGAGCCCTGACCAGCACGAGCCAGTGAACCACCCGGAGGACACTTGGGCGGCCCTCGAAGGAATCCTCTTCTCAAAGTTTCGGGAAGGCACAACCTTTCAGTAAGTTGAAGAGCTGCCCTTCGAGAAATGGGTATTAGAGTAATGGCTCTGTCTTCTTGCGGCACTCACCACCCTCCCCTAGGTTAGAATCACCTAAGTCTCCAGATGTTGCCCGGTATCTCCTGGGTGGGTGGGGGCGCACACACACACACACACACACACACACACACACACACACAGAACTGCTCTGGAGCATGCAGGAGGAAGGACTCTTCAAGTGCAAAATTCAAAGGTAAACAAAAGATAAAGTAGAAGAGGCAGACAGGAGTCACAGAGGATGAGGGACGAACAGGTGGAGGGAGACAGATGTGCATCAAACGGGGTGGGGGGGTGAAGTAAAACCAATCCCAGAAGCGATGAGGGGAGTGACAGGTGATTCCTTGATGCTGGGGTGCCGCGCTCCTCCCCAACAACAGACAGAACAGAGGTGATTACAGAAGGTGTGGGAACACTTCTGACCAGGCAGCCCCAGCTGCCCAGCACTTGCAGGGCACAGGCCCTTCTCAGATTCGCGTGGGGCTCACCAAGACGGACTGCGTCAGGGGGCTGGGCGACTCCCACACACTGAAGGGTGTTAAAATACACTGCTGGCATGCTGGCGAATGCCTGTAATCCCAGCACCCTAGAAGGCTGAGGCAGGAGGATTGCAAGTTCGAGCCCAGTTTGGTCAACTTAGCCACTTAGAAGATACCTTGTCTCAAAGTAAAAAGTTAAAAAGCGTTGGGGATATAGCTCAGTGCAAAGGCCCTGGGGTCAATCACCCATGCCACAACAAAACAGTACAAAACAGAAAAGGTCATATTGGGGTGGCATGTTCCTTAACTACAGGTAAGCAGAAGGAAAAAAATCTGCAAAATCACTAAATGTTTGGAAATTTAATAGCACACTTCTAAGTAGCCTAATCTTCAGGCAAGAAAAAATTTTTAGAGAAGACACAGAAAGCACAACCTATAAAGGAAAAATTATGGGAGGCTGGGGCATAGCTCAGTGGCGTGGAGGAGCACTTGCCTAGCAGGCATGAGGCCTCCAGTCCATCCCGGCACCACAGAAAAACCGTTTGAAAGGCAAAACGAAATCATATTTAAGTATAGTAAAAGGTCTAAATTGACCATGAAAATATTGCCACTCATTTTCATGATGGGTAACTTACCTACCTCCGTTTACTTTTTTTTTTTTTTTTTTTTTTTTTTT